CTCAGAGGATCCGGGCCACGGAGCCCCCACTCCTCTCTCCCTCACCCTTTCCATGCAGACTGGGAAAGGGGGCCCGTGTCCCCCTCCAGAGCCGTCTCCTCCCCTCTGGTCCCTCTCGGGATGACCCGGCCTCCCCTTCCCTCTGAGAGCAAGCCCCCTTGAGCCTGGGGGCTGGCCCACCCGCCCTTCTCATTCCCCGTGATGCCCCTGTCCTCCCGTCTCTCGTCCCTTCCCTCTCAGTCTCCAGGACGCCTTCCCAGACAACTTCCAGCTCTGCCACCCGGAACCTTCCCTCGGTCCGGGCCCACAGCCCTGCCCTTGGGCTCCAAGAGGCCACCTGGCCATGCCCCGTTCTGCTCCGTCCTCCCCCGAACCCTGGGACTGCACCCCTACCTCCTCCTCAGACTTCCCAGAATGCTCCACAGGCTACCCCCCCACAACAGAGAGAGAAAGCTGCCATGGCTCCAGGGGCCTCAGTCCACAGCCTATGGGGCATCGCAGGACACATGGAGGTCAACCCAGCTATCCCCTGCCCACAGCAGGTGCTGGTGAATACTCCAAGGTCACTGCTCTCTGTCCAGCCCTCTGGGAATGTCCCAGCATGATGAGGAAAAGTATGGGATTCCCCCCCAAGGTAGAGCCCTGGGCCTCCCCAGGGGGAGTCTGTCCTGAGAGGCCATGTCCGCCTCCCTCACCTGCCTCACTCACCTTCTTCAGAGCCACAAACTCATTCTCGGCTGTTGCTCTCAGAGAAACTTCCTCCTCATACCTGGGACACAAGGGAGGAGGGGGCACGGGGGGTCAGGGCAGGGCAATAAGGAGACAATTCACTGCCACTTCACACCAGCAAAGGGACAGTGTTGGGAGCCGCCAGAGCTGGGCCCCCGCAGCCCCACCGAGTTTTTTCTGTGGGATCTGGGATGTGTCCAGGCTTCTTTCTCCACTGTGATTGGGGATGAAGAGGATGAATATTCGAGGACCCCTCCCAGTCCTGTCCTCAAGGCTGCTCTGTGTTCACCTCAGGGGACAAATAGGACTCGGCCCCACCCCATGCTGGGAGTGGACAGTGTGGCCTCTGGGGCCTGCAGCCCCACCACCCCAGCCTGTGTTGGCACCAACAGGCTCCCAGGACTTGGTGCCACTACAGTGGGATGCCCAGACCTGTCCCTCCTGGTGACCCTGGGGCTCACCTCTGATGGGTAACAGGGTCAGGAGGAGGCAGGAGAGAGGCCTGGGGAGCACAGGAGCGTCCTCTGCACAAAGCAGGGGCGCACTGGGGGCTGAGGCTCGGGGAAGAGCCTAGAGCAGGACGGAGGCGGCTCCGGGGCCCATAGCCCTGCTCTTGTGCAAATGTGGGCGGGCCCAGATTCCACAAAGGAACGACCTCCAACACTCGGTCAGCCGCTAGTGGCCACTCATCCTATCTGGAAGTTCTCCTTATTGTCTAATCCAAGGGGCCTCAACCCAGCTCTCCCAGGCCCAGCAACCCTCGGGGCACTCACTTCTTCTTGTAGCCCTCCAGCACTTCCTGCACATGGTTGAGCTCTGAGGCCAGCCTCCCGCTGTCGGCCTCCACACACTCGGCCTCCCGCCGCAGTGTCTCGATGTAGCCCTCAAACAGTGGCTCCAGGTTGCTCTCACAGCACTGGCGATTCTGGTAGAACTGCCACTTGGTCTCCAGCAGCTTGTTCTGCTGCTCCAGGAAGCGCACCTGTGTGTGTGTGGTAGGGGGTTAATGGAGGATGGTAAGGCAACTCCTGGCATCCCCAGCCAGCTGTGGGCGGCTGCTCTCAGGGCACTTCCCATCCCAGGGCCTCGCAGAGTATGGGCAGAGGTGGGCTTGGGCAACAGGTGCTGTCTGGGTTCCTGGCTGTGACCTGTGTCTGGATTTTCCATCAAGAATGGAGTGAGGGCTGGAGACAGCTGATGCCCGCTCAGGGGGCTGAGTTACCCCACCCCATGGGGCCTGATGGGGACTCAGCCTCTCCCTATGCAGCCAGGGAAGGCAGGAGCCCCCACAGGCAGAGCACCCAGATTCGGCTTACAGGTGGGTAGGTACTAGGATGTCCAGGACATCTAGAAGGGCTCAGCTGCCTGCTCACCTCCACACACCATTCCGTCTCAATGCACCTCGACCTCTCAGAGGGCAGACAGTCCCAGCCTGGGGCTGTCCAACCCTCCAAGCTCAGCAGCAGGGCTGTATTCCTCCCCGTGCCCTGAAGTCCTGCTCCGGGTCCAGAACACCTGGCCAGGCCTTTCTGCCATTATCTCTGCCCACCTCAACTGTCAGCTGAGTCTTTCTGGGCCTTGAGCGACTGCTTGTGCCTGTCTGTGTGCCTCTCCCATCAGACTGGGATCTCAGGCAGGCAGAGCTCTTTCTGCCTCAGATTCCTCAGTGACCAGTGCCTCAGTGCCCACTCCTGACTTTGCACATGGTGGGATTCAGGACGGGCGGGATCCAGGACACCCACCTTGTCGATGAAGGCGGCGAACCTGCTGTTGAGACACTTGATCTGCTCCTTCTCCTCGTGCTTGACGCACTGCGCGTTGGGGTCGATCTCCAGGTTGAGGGGCGTGAGGAGGCTCTCGTTGACCGACACGGTGGTGATGCAGGGGGGGCTGGGCCCGCACACGCCGCCGGAGCGGTAGCCGAAGCTGCGCCCGCAGGAGCCGGCGCGGAAGCCCCCGCAGACGCTGTGGCTGCCGAAGCCCCCGGGGAGGCCGCGGTAGCAGGAGATGCCGCGGTAAGGGGCGGCCATGATGCAGCAGCGGCCGGGTCGGGGCCCGCAGGCCGAGGCGCAGCTGAAGGCGCGGCCGCCGCAGTAAGATCCACAAGTCATGGTGCTTTTAGGGGAGGCAGCTGGCTTTCAGGATGGAGGCGTCCAAACGGAAGGTGCGCTGGGCGAGGTGGCAGGTGCTTACTCCGGGGCCTCTTCGGACCTTTTATATATGTGGGGCCGCTGGCCACGTGGACAGGAACAATTAGATGCCTTTATGGGCTTGGGCTGTTTAGCTGCTGTGGCTCCTGGCTTAATGTGCTTAATTGGGGCCCAGATGCAGGTAGATGTTTATGGCTCTTTGCCCTAAACTGCACAATTTTCTTCTTCAAAGGACCAGCTCACCCCACCCCCACCCCCCACAAACCCATCACTACCTCCCAAGGCACAGTTGGCGAAACTGAGGCAGGAGGAGGGGGAGGGGAAGGGGCGGAGCCGCAGTTCTCCAGTTCCGCCCAGTGTGACGGCGTCTGTGCTGCTGTCCGTGGTGCTGAACATATCGGCCTGGAATGTGGGGAGAGTGTGCGATCAGATGGCTGGAACTTGGAATAGGCTTGGTGGCTTCTCTGACCCAGATTGTCTCTTTCTGCAGCTCAGAAGCCGCTCATGTGCACAATATCTAACGTAATCACCCACACAGGAACCCAACACCCCCTCACCTATTCCCAAATCCCTTACCTATACCTATCAATATGTCCTCTCTCACACACAGGCACACGCACACTCACTCCACACTCACATGCTGGCCTTCCCGCCCACAGTCTCGCACACACACTCACAGACGTTCACCTGCACGTGCAGCTGGCACCCAGAACTGTCCTTAGGCCACCATGTTGGCAGGCCTAGGCACCCGCCCAAGTCCTTCCCCCAAAGTCCTTCATGAGGCCTCGGGGTCATTGGCGCACTGGCCCCAGGAAAGTGCAACCACCTCCAACAAGAACCCAGGCAAGGATCGAATGTCTGGATGTCATCTCAGGCCTTTGTGTTTCCTCCAGTGCTTGCAAGGCCTGGAGTGGGCACTCCTGTTATAAGTCTGCATACTATGTGCCTCAGAATAGAAGAACTAGATAAGGGAGAGCATCCAGCCCCACCATCACCCCTAAGTCCTTGTGCTTTCCATGCTGTATCCCCTTGAAAGCCTCTTCCTGCTCAGAAATTTGTCAATAGTCTTGGCAAGTGCCAAAGTAGATCCATATTTGTGTCCATCCAGGGTGGATACTGTGGGCCTTGAAGTCAAAGGACTGGGTAGAAACCAAAGTCTGCCCTGAGCAACTCTGTATGGTATGGGGGAAGGCACTTCACTCTCCTGGGAAGTGGGTTAAGGCTTTTCCATCCACCACTGCCTTGGATACTCAAGGATTCACACATGCTCAGTTAACTACAGAGCTGGGCTTCAGGCCTATCATTAAGAGGCAGTGGAGGCCAGGCTCGGTGGCTCAGACTGTAATCCCACTACTTTGGGAGGTCTAGGTGAGTGGATTGCCTAAGCCTGCGAGTTTGAGATCAGCCTCGGCAACTTGGTGAGACCTCATCTCTACAATAAATAAAAAATTAGCCAGGCATGGTAGGGCATGCCTGTAGTTCTGGCTACTTGGAAGGCTGAGGTGGGAGGATCACTGGAGTCCGGCAGGTCAACGCTGGGGTGGCCAGGAGCATGCAACTGCATTCCAGCCTAGTTGACAGAGTGAGACTCCAACTCAAAAAAAAAAGAGGCAGTGGAGGCTGATTGTGGTCATTCATGCCTGTAATCCCAGCACTTTGGGAGGCAGAAGTGAGAGGATTGCCTAAGCTCAAGGATTAGAGACCAGCCTGGGCAACTTGGCAAGCTCTCCTCTCCACAATTAAAAAAAAAATCAACTAGGCATGGTGGCACATGCCTATAGTCCCAGCTACTTGGAAGGCTGAGGTGGAAAGACCACCTGAGCCCAGTAGGTTGAGGCTGTGGTAGTCACAAGTGTGCCACTGCACTCTGCCCTGAATGATAGTGTAAGACTCTAACTCAAAAAAAAAGAGGCAGTGGACTCGGGGGTAGTGTTCATTCAGAGTTCATGCTGTGACCCACTAGTGGAAAGAAACAGAATTTTATCTTAATGAAATTGATCATAACAATGAAATAGAGTCTAATAGAATAGACAATACCAAAATTCATTCTTTGTAATAAAAATAACTATTGTTTTACGACCTTTTGCTTCAGTTGTGCACGATGTGTCTATATACTCAGTGGCTATGTAAAATTATTTCCTAGGGGGGTTGTGACTGAAAAGTTGAAACATCTATCTCTCACCATATACAAAAATCAAATCAAACTGGGTGAAGGACTTAACTGGAAGGCCTGAAGCTATAAAACTACTAGAGAAAACATTGAGGAAATGCCCCAGGGCATTGGTCTGGGCAAAGATTTCTTGAGTAAGGCCTCAAAGGCACAGACAGCCAAAGTGAAGCTGGAAAACGAGATCATATCAAGCTAAAAAAGCTTCTGCACAGCAAAGGAAACTATCAACAGAGTGAAGAGACAGCCCACAGAATCGGAGAAAATATTTACAAACTATTCAGCTGACAAGGGACTCATAACAAGAATGTATAAGGAACTCCAACAACTCAATAGCAAAAAAAAATGATTTAAAAATGAGCAAAAGATCTGAATAGACATTTCTCAAAAGAAGACATACAAATGGCCAACAAGTATATGAAAAAAATGTTGGACATAACTAATCATCGGAGAAATGCAAATCAAAGTCACAGTGATATTATCATCTTCAGTTAAAATTGCTTTTATTTTTTTAAAAAATGCATATACTGGTGAGGCTGTGGAGTGAGGAGAATGCTTGTACACTGTTGGTGGGGAATGTAATTTAGTACAGCCACTATGGAAAACAGTATGGAAGCTCCTTCACAAACTAAAAACAGAACTACCATATGACCCAGCAACTCCACTGCTGGGACATATCAAAAAAAAAAGGGAAATCTGTATTCTGAAGAGCTTCTTGCACTCCCATGTGTATTTTGCACTAGTCACAATAGCTGAGATATGGAATCAACTGGATTAGGAAAATGTGGTATATACAGTGGGATATTATTCAACCATTAAAAAAGAATAAAACTGCCCTTTTCCCAGCTGCCGCCAAGGTGCTCAGTCCTTCCAAGGGAGCTAAGGCCGCGTCTGGGGTGAGGCCCTCACTTCATCCAGCGACTAGCACCACGTCCAGCAGCTCCATCCCGCACTGGCCCTGCCATGGCCTCCATCTCCGAGCTTGCCTGCATCTACTCAGCCCTCATTCTGCAGGACGACGAGGTGACCATCACAGAGGATAAGATCAACGCCCTCATTAAGGCCACTGGTGTGACTGTGGAGCCTTTCTGGCCTTCTTTACAAAGGCCTTGGCCAACGTCATCTGCTCTGGGGAGAGGGAGCGGGGGAGTGGGCTGGTGCCCCACACCTGCAGCTGACGCTGCCCCAGCTGAGGAGAAGAAAGTGGAAGCAAAGAAAGAAGAATCTGAGGAATCTGATGATGACATGGGCTTTAGTCTGTTTGACTAAAACTTTTATAATGTGTTCAATAAACAGCTGAACTCTGAAAAAAAAAGAATGAAATCCTGTCATTTGAAACAACTTGAATGGAACTACGACATTATGTCACGTGAAATAAGCCAGACACAGAAAGACAAATTTCACGTGTTCTCACTCACGTGTGGGAGCTAAAAAAAAAAAGAAAAAAGAGAGATCTCAAGACAGAGAGTAGAATAATGGTTATTCGAGGCTGGGAAGGGTAGTGAGGGGGAGATAAGGAGAGGTTGGTTAATTGGTACAAAAATACAGCTTAGATCATAGGAATAAGAGCTAGTACTTGGTAGCACAAAAGGGCAACTATAGTTAATAATGTCTTGTTTCAAAATAACTGGAGGAATGGATTTGTAATGTTCCCAAGACAAAGAAATGATCGATGCTGGAGGTGATGGATAGCCCAGTTACCCTGATTTGATCGTTGCACATTGTATGCTTGTATCAAAACATCACATGTGCCCCATAAATATGTATAACTAGACCAGCCTGGACAACATAGTATACCCCTTCTCCAGTATATTTTTTTTGTTAATTAATCCAGTGTGGTGGTGGTGTCTGTAGTCCGAGTTACTCAGGAAGCTGAGGAGGGAGGACCACTTGAGCCTAGAAGTTTGAGGCTACAGTGATCTATGATCACACACTGCACTCCAACCTGGGCAACAGAGCTAGACTTTGTCTCTAAAAAGATGTTAATACAATAATTACACACCCATAAAAATTAAAATAAATAAAAACTTGAACTACATGGCATATCAGTTAAGAACACGGCCAGATTCCAACCTGCCTCGCTTCAAATTTCAGCTCTGCCACTCTCTAGCTGTACAGCCTCAGGCAAGTACTTAACCTCTACGTACCTCATTTCATGATTTGTAAAATGAGGATAATAATAGCATCCACCTTATAAAGTTGTTGTAAGGATTCAAAGAGTTAATCCATGCAAAGCACTCAGAACCAAGCCTGACACACTCCGTGTGTAATCATTTGTTGTTGTTGTGAATGGGATGCCTCAACCCATGCCTAAACCACCTCATCCAATTGCTATTAATTGTGCTCCTCTTAAATAACTAGTAAAAGGGATTAAATCAATGGATACATGAACAATGCTTGACACAGCACCTGGCACACAGAAAGTGTTCAATAAATACTATCTGCTGTATTCTACCATAGGGCCAGTCCAGGGAGCAAAGGACCTGTAAGATCTTTGGCCATGGTTACCCACTTTGTCCTAGAAAAAAAATTCAAACCAAGTGTCCCTCCTTCGATCCCCACTCCAGCCTGATTGTCCTAGGGAAGATCCACTGAGCAGTTCTCCTCTTAGGCAACAGGAAAACATCACCCTTCCTCAGGAAACCACACTACTAGTTGAGAGGAGACACTTGGATACCCCGAAAAGTCTATAGTCTGAACAATTCATACATTTGAGTTTATTCTTTGGCCTTAACAGACCATCAGAAATCCTCAGTCAGAAATCACATGATGGTATTGATGGCATACTCGCTTGTCTTGCCTTTTGCCTGATCCTGAAGGCTCCTGATTGGTCAGCAGCTGGGGTACACCAGGGGTGGAGGGTGAAGAGTACGCCCTTGATAACCCACCTAAGAGTGATGTGGGGTCCGAGCATTTGAGTCACGGCACCAACACACAATTTACCAAGAGAGAGGTTTATTAGCCAGGTTCGACAAGCAGGGCCACCCACCAGACTCACAAGTCTCTAGGCGAGGGCCCCACACTGCAGCAGGGGCCTCTCTTAAATATGCAAAAGCCTGCCTCCACAAGGCCATTATAATTCAAATTCGAACAACACAAAGCCCGCCAGAAGAGGGGCTTGCCTGCCACAATTCAAACAGAGAAAAACCCACTAGACTTTGAAAGAGGCTTATCACACAACACTCACACACTGCCAGCGGGGGTTACAGAAGCAGAAAAAGCTGGTTAACTTATCTAACATAGCCACTTGGCACTCCCAAATAGGGCGTTCTTTCCAGGGTTTCCAAGAATTACTAAGTTTTAGAGGAGAGGTCACAGCACACAGTTTCAGCATACTTAATATATGCGGTTATAGTTTCATTACATTTCACATAATTCATCACACTTTATATATAAGGCTTCACACAGGTTCCACACAATTCATCACCTCTTACATTTCCCCCCTTTGAGTTGTTCCTAGAGTTAAATCGTTGACTCTTCGTATAGGGGCCTGTCTTGAGTTCTTAGTATCATTAAGTTTGTGGGAGTTAACCTGTGCTTTATGTAATTTAGAAGGCCTTTAATTATGCACGGCCCTACGGTCACACATATTAGAACTAAGAGCAGAGGTCCTGCAATGGCTGAGATCAAGGTTGTGAGTCAGGGAGACCAGGAAAATAAGGATTGATACCAGTTTTTTGAGGTCTATATTTTTGACTTTCTACGTTTAATATTTTCTCTGACTAGGGCAAGAGTTTCTCTGATTATTCCTGATTTGTTGGCATAAAAGCAACAGGTCACCCCTAGTGCCGCACACTGTCCTCCTTCTCTCATGAAGAGGAGGTCTAGCCCCTTCTATTTTGGAGCACTACATTAGCCAACAAGTCTACCTGTTATTTTAGCTGGGATATGCTAGTTTCAAGATTTTGGAGATCCATGTTAGCATGTATACTTAGTTAAGATTTTGGTTTTCTACAGTTAGGGCTGCTGCGCCTAAAGCCATTGATCCTGCAATTCCTAACCCTACAAGGAGGGGCACCAAGATGGGGACTCATTTAGTCCAGGTAGGGGTTAGGAGTTCAAGTTGCTCCCATCCTGCAGGCCCTTCAACAATATATACCTGGGGTAATATGTGCAAATGCAAAGCTCTGAACTGTCTTGGAGGAGTTCTATGGCAACACACAGAGTTATGCCTCGTGTGCAGGCAAACCAGGTAGTAGGGGGTGCAACAGCCATATAGAGGCTCCCAGGAGTGCTAAACTGGGAGACATTTATTTTAGTAGAGGCCGTGCAGGCTTCTCGGTATGGGGAGTTTTCTATATTATAAGATGAAGTATGGAGGCAGGTTCCTTGGCCTTGGAGATCTCCTGAGGTGAGAGCCGGATCTTCGCCCCAAGGACATAATCCCCAAAACTGGGCAGTGGTATAGTTGAGCATGCGTACGTGCTTCTCAGTATTACCTATTGAGGAATTGACAGCTAATTCTACATAATATGTGGGGCGGGGGTTTAGGCATAACCAACAGTACCTTGCCAAGTTAGGGCATGTGGTGTTAGCAAGCTGGTGAACTGCTGACAACATGGGAAGGAAGTGACTTACACTTCCGGGTAGGACAATGGGGAGAATAACATTTGGTTTTTTAGGGTTTGGAGTAATTATAGCCACTTGGGTAGAATTGGCTGATTCGGATTTTTTCTGAGTAGGTTCGGGAGCCCATGGCATTGGCAGGAAGAAATTACGGTTAGGACCCACGGGGGTATTGACATGGGGTATAACCTTTTTCTGTATAGTGAATCTCATTCTGGCATCCAATCTGAATCCCCATGTTTTCCCTGACTGCCACTTGTCCCATTGCAGAACAGTAAATTTTTAGTGGATTGCAAGTTCTAACTTGCTTGCAATGAGAAACAGGTTTCTGTTTATGAAGGCTTACGTAAGGGTCCTTGTTAGTTCCCCAGGTGGCTTTAGTTACACAGCCCCATGACGCACAGTGGAACTGCTGCGATTGGTGGCAGCGGTCGGGGCCAGCAGCCGGGCAGGTATAGAAGTTCCACTTTGTAAGCTATTTTTCTGCTTTTAAATTGTTAGCACTACATCCCCATGTTAAACTAGGGCACAATTCACAAAGGTTAAAGTTAAAGACTAGTTGCCCATTTCCATAATAAGAAGAGATTACAGTTCTAGTTTTAGCATTTGTTAGGTCCCAGGAATATTTTCCTGGGGCATAGTAACGAGCTTCATAATGGGGAAGTCTTAAAAGAATAAGGAGGGCTATGGGCCCCCCTGAGAGGGCGGGACACAGTTGCTGCCAGTTACACGATGAACCTAGGGAATCAAGGCCCACAAAAGTCTTATCTTCAGTGGGTCTTCTCCGGCGGCCAGCTTGATGACCTTCCATCTCATCGGCGGTTCCTCGCTGGTTTCAGCAGGGGGTTCTGCCTTCTGTGGTTGGGAATGATGGATCCAGGGACGGACACCACTGACTTTCACCGCCGTTGGGGTGGTCAAGATTACCACGTGTGGGCCTTTCCATCTTGGGGTTAGAGCCTTGGTTTTGTGCCGTTTGACCCATCCGGGTTGGTATGGGTGAGGATTTACCGTACCCAATTCCTGGAAGGCAGCTTGCACGGTCTCAGTCACTGAGTTTTGTATTTTTTGAAGTGTCTGTAGTGACTGAAGTAAATTATGGATCTAGCACTTTTTTTAAGTCTACTGTTGGAAGTAGAGGCGGGGACCGCCCGAAAAGGATTTCAAAGGGGGTAGGCCCTTGATGTAGGATTTTGCTCTTAGGAGGGCATAGGGAAGGAACATCACACATTCCTCGCCGGTTTCTAGGGTTAATTTAGTTAAGGTTTCCTTAAGTGTTTGATTCATTCTTTCTGCCTGTCCTGAGGATGATAAGCCCAGTGTAATTTTCAATTTATCCCCAGAGCCTTTGCTATACCTTCCGTAAGTTTGGAAACAAAGGCCGGACCATTATCTGATCCTACTGAGGTAGGGAGACCATATCTCGGGATGATGTCGTTTAAAAGTTTTTTTAACTATTACAGATGCAGTTTCCGTTTTCATAGGAAATACTTCAATCCATCCCGAGAAAGTGTTTACCAAGACTAACAAATATTTATATCCATATTTTCCTGACCTTACCTCTGTAAAATCTATTTCCCAGTGTCTCCCAGGGGTTAATCCCTGGTGTCGGGCCCCTTGGGTGGATACACTGACCTTAGTGGTGTTAGTCTGTTGGCAGGGTATGCAGCTTTGAACGAGTTCCTGGGCCAGCTGGTCCAGGTGGGACAAGTAGAACTCCTTTTTTATAAGTTCAGT